TAATAAAAGTAATAGTAAACATGAGTTTTGTTGTAGATACTTGTAATTGAAAAAATAAAAATCATGTCCTAAAAATTTTCATATTAAAATAAATTAAGTCTTATTAATGAGATATCGATGAGCCAGTAAAACTTAAATTATTTTATTTTAAAAAGTGACATAATTATAATAGGTTTGCTAATATTGTCAAAGAGTAATTAAAGATTTATGCAATAAAGTTATAGCGCGTGTACGACTGAATAACAAGACTTACAATTGAGAAACTAACTATTAATTGTTTGTTTCCTCAATAATCAAGAATTTCCAAGCTAGCACACAAAACTTACAATAATCCAACTTCTAGCACTTAACACCTACATATTTTTTTTTATAGATCAAGGGTGAGCACTAGTACAGAATTGCAGATAGGCAACCATTGTAAAAGACAATAGGCAACTATTGTACAATGGTCGCCTATGAGAGGCTCGCAGAAAGCCATGGACTTTACGCGACCATTTCTAAATGGTTGCGCATTGTCAGTAATACGCGACCATTCTTGACCAAGAATGGTCGCGTATTGTTTTTTTATTTTTTTTATTCAAATGTAATACGCGACCATTCTTGGATAGGAATAGTCGCGTGTTTTTTTTATTTTCTTAAATCAACTTTCTGCGACCATTCTTTGTAAAAGAATAGTCGCGGATACTTTTTTAAAAAATAAAAAAAAATATAATTTTAAAAATAATTTTATTTTGCACCATGCAATTCTCACACAACCATTAGTAATAGGTATTTATTTATACTACTGAGTACTGTAATTGTAGTAAAAAAATGTATTCATAAGATAGTAATAGTTGCATAAAGAAATCAACTTTCATAAGATAGTAATAACAGTCTGGTTACAAACATATTACAAATTAAAGCTAAGCTCAAAGCTTCAGCATTAGAAGAGTAATTGCGCGAACCAATCAGATTCTCAGCAGCAAGAAACTGTACATTACACTTTGTTGAATCCATTAAAAGCTTGTTGATGCCATAATAATGTAACAACTGGCACACAATAAAATTAGAGACAAATGCTTAACACCTGACTCATAATTTGATTTTATCAAAGATAAAAGGTGCAGATTTTTTTAGCTGTTTATTCAGAGCTCAACTAGTTCATATAAATTATGTATCTAGAAACCATAGCCCATGAAATTTTTCTTACATGTACTCATCTACCACATTTGTCAATTAACAAAGTCAAAAATAGAAAGTAATTAGGAACTAAGTCCACTCACCATCTCCTGCTTAATCCTCTTGAGGTCCTTGTCAGTCAGTAGTCTAGGTGTCAGTCAGTAGTCTAGCTGTGCATGTGTTTGATGCAAACCTGCAGGTAACACAAGACATTATAAGCTGTTTTTCATGTTAAAACCAATACATTTTGGAGATTAAGATTGGACATACTTGTCTATGAAGAAGTAAATCCCAAAGAACAACCAGCACAGTACAATAAGTATCCAACAAAGAATAATCAACCTGCCAACAGATCATTAAAACGATTCAAGTTCACATTCGAATATCAACTGTCTGCCTTTCAACGTTAACATGATGTGATCGTACACTTACCAGCGAAGCGTTCTTCTGAACTTGAGAATTCCGAGCACTGACAGACAGATGGCTGCAACCAAATTAACTGAAATGATAACAGTACTTATTATGTACACAATCCTTAAGCCCTTCTCTATTGCCCTCCTATTTTTCCTCGCCTGCCTCTCGATATCAGCAGCCCGACTGTCGAGGCTCTTGGATGTGGAGGTCAGGAAACGCGTGGCCTCAGGACCTCAATCCGTGGCTCCTAAATCTGCACTCATTTCTTTCATTGCCTGAGTCGTGTTGTATATGGTGTTTGATGCCCCATCTGCAGTGTCAATAATTATGTCAACAACTGTATCTGCTCTCGAATGGAACCTTGCGTTCCCTCCAAGGACTAGACCCGATGCAATCCTGAAATCGTTAAAAGGAAAAGTAGGATAATGCTAGCTGCTGGTAGATGTGGTAACCTTAGACATACATACATACATACATACATACATACATACATACATACATACATACATACATACATACATACATACATACATACATACATACATACATACATACATATATATATATATATATATATATATATATATATATATATATATATATATATATATATGAAAAAACTAACCTATGATTGGAATTAGCTTGTGATTGCTTGTATTTCCTGTGCGGGTGTTCCATGTGGTGGTGATCCCTGTGGTTATAGTAAAGAGTAAATAAGCGAACATATAATTTTAAAGAAAAATTCCTTCTTATCGTAGTGTTAAAAAAAAACAAAATTTTGATTAATGTCTAGAAAAGTGAAACAAGATTATATGCAGCCTAGCTGCCATGTTTTTAATCTCTTATCAACGGTGAGGAGGTAGCCATAGCCATTGCAGATTTGCAGTTAATCAAAAGCATCTTCTATGTGAATATTATTAGCTAATTAATATAATCAAGACTGCAAAGTTTTAAGGTGGTTACCTTGTGCATAGTGAAATTCGTTCTTGCTGTCTTCTGTGCATTGCCCTCCTCCATTGTAACACTCTTGGCAGGATTTTGAGACTTCCATGTACAATAAAAGATGAGCAGTTAAGCCATCATTTGTTTGTTGAATAATAAATGGAGATGGATACATGGTACAGTTAACAGCATCACATTTGGAATCGATTTAACTTAAAATCTAATAGTTTGAGTATCAATTTAAATTCAATTAAAAGTTATAGGATCAATTCGAGAAATGGGCATAATCAAATGACTATTTTGAGAATTTTCTCGAAAATTATAAAAGGAAATTTTCGTTATATATGTAAAGCGCCCACGACGTCGTATTACGGATACTGTGGGCAACTCCAGCCAAAGTTGGTTAAGCAGTTGACTAGGTAACCACAAGGTTACAATTCGAATCCCAACGGGAGTGGCCTATTGGCCTTTTTTGTTTGAGCCAGCAACCTAAGTTGGTTTACCTCCTTGTGGAAAAAAATAATATCCCAGTTTCTTCACTAACAGTATGTATCCATATCCAGGAATAACTAACTAGTATAAAAAAAAAGTTGTACATCAGTTACTATAACTCCACCACCAGAAAGCATTAGTTGCTTAGTCAGACATGACTGAAGGGGAAAATAAGCATTAACTATATAACATAGTATATGAGTATATCTTAGTTATGCCCCCAAAGGAGATCAGAGCAATCTTCAGTCAAAAAAATAAAAAATAAAAACTCCCAAAGACAAGCTTTAAAGAGCTCCAAGTCAAAATGCTACATTCCACCAAAATTCCATCATCTAGAGAAATTTAATATACCTGATAGAAGACTTTGCGTCCCTGACTCGGATGGAGGTTGCATTAGTTTTTAAAAAGTCCCTGCAAAAATGAACATGGACTGGATTTTCGAAGATTCTTTGAAGACCTGGACACGGGTGTCCTATAAGATTGAATTGATGGGGGGTTAATGGACCAAACTATAATGAACCTATGATGGTAGAAATGTATGATCTCCATTGGTAATCATGACCATAATGTAGGTATCTAGATAATAGCTAATCATGATCATGATGTAAATGATAATTTTCTCATTAATCATGATAGAAATAGCATGAAAACTCTAGTGGTAAACAAGATCATGATATAGGTTTCTAGTCAATTAGTACCATGATATGTTAATGACATTGCTGTAGGATCAAGCTTTGTGGAATGGCATGTTTGCTAGTTGCCTAAATAAACTAAAAATGGTATGAAAGACATCAATACATCTAACAAAGGAAGCATTCATGACATCTTAGGTAAATATGGCATAGTGCAAAGTCAAATCACATAATTTCTACACTAAAAATTACATGCATCCTTAATATAATATGTTGCAAAAACATGAACCAATGAAGTTAGCTTTTCTTGCCATGCCACTGCTTCAAATGCATGCCCTGGGTAAACTATAGGATGGTCCAAGAATATGTTCATGATGCAACAGTTTGCATTCATTCACATGAGAAGAGATGTTAATGCTAATGACTTGATGATTACATGGATGCATGCAACAGCTGTCCATGATGCATCCTATCATGTAAGGATTTGTATTTGTCAGAGCATAGAGAACAGAATACATCCCCTTCCAGCTACTGGTAGGTCATAGGTGGTGGAGTTCCATTTGCAGCAGGGGAAATGTGATTGAAATCCTTCCTTTTTCCAAATGGATTCTTTGAATACGTAACTTGATGTTAAGGAAAACCACGGGCGTCCATGTAAAAAACATTTGTAAAGAACATGTATAATTGACATAATGCTACATGAAGGGCATTACAAAATAGCCTTATACTTTTCTCCTTATCCTTAAACCACTGGTGACAGGCCTTATATATAACATGCATTTTGAGATGCATACCTATAATGAATCCATTCCCCTTTTCAAGTGTCAAAGACACTTTTTTTTTGGCAGTCAATTTGACTAAAATTTGGGATTGAAAATAAAATCTACATATCACAAAAGTAAATGAAAAATATTACCTGTTTGGATAATCAAAATTTTGAAATGTATCAAACAAACATATTAAAAATTTAGTTACAGGTTGACCCTTCAAAAAAATTTAAAATAAAATAAAATGGAAAAGAAGAGGTATATATACTAAGAGTGTGTGCCTTTCAAATTTACCCCCTTAAGTGTGATAGTTCTTGACCAAAAACCAAGTGCAAGAAGAGAGATCTAGATAGGAAAAAAGGAAACTAAAAAGCTGCCCTGATTCTCAGTGTGAATTTTGCTTAATTAAAGAGTGGACATGATACCAAATATAACAAAGAGATCAAATTAACAGAGATAATTGCCAACAAAAGCCATGGGTAAGAAATATAGTGAATGTCTGAAAAAAAGCACTTAAAACTCAAGTTCTAAGATGTCTCAAATGGAGAAAGGATATTGAATCCGCATGCCAACAGCACCAGAACTAGGTATAACAGCACTTGCAAGGTATGGTGCACATTGGTGGCACTCTGCACATCCTGCAAAATGATGTGACTTCAAATAACAACATAGATAACAGAAGCTGCATACAGATTAATAGAGCAAGCATCTGAAAGAAACTTCATTTGTGTAGCCGTCATAAACTTACTTCAAACTCAATGAAACATACAGTATGCCTTTCCTGTCTCAATACCTTCATCTGCTTATAACCAGGTTGCCTGTCAGACAATTTTTGGGTGAAACAAACAAATCCATTCAATAACAGCTGTGCACAAATTTGTACATAATGTAGACCAATTAGATGAAGATGCAAAATCCCTACGCAGTGAACAGGCCTCTCAACTCTTCCTCATTTATGTTCTCTCCAAGATTACCAATGAAAAGGGTATTGCAAAGAGGATTATCTTTTGTATTCTACAAGAGTAAATCAATCATTATTAGCAATTAAACACAGCTCCAGAAAAATGGCTCATTCGTCAACAACTTCCAGAAACAAAAACATAAAAACAAAGCCATTGCATGACACATTACCTGGACAGGCACATAGTTGTTTGGTGCTGCAGGCATAGGAGCAGGAACAGGCATTGGCACAGGAGGAACATGGTAACCAGTATATGGATCATATGGTTGAGGTGGTGGAGTCATGTACCTGAGCTATATCACTAATCAGGTCCATATTACAAGTTTGACAACAAGTCATCCATGTGACTTAAATTTAGTGCAGTTCAATTAAGTTGCAGGAGATAATTCTGCAATTTTTTGTGAGAAAGGAGTACTCTTACGCAGGTGGCCCCCAAGCTGGTGCAAGAGGGGGGTGAAAAGGAGAGGGGCTAGAGTACCCAGTATGTGTATAATCACCGCTAGTCCGCATCCGTTTGCTCTGGTCATAAGCATTTGAATCAGCAACAATTCCCGCTCGTATATGTACTAGCCACCCTGCGGAGGCAAGGAACACCCATCCTATCCTCGATGATAGTTTGTTCCAGCCCGGAGGAGGATCAGCATGTTCCTTTCAGTTAATCTCTTGATAAACCCCAATGGAAGCAAGGAGATCTGCCGCAACATTCTATTCATGGAGGATAGTTCTGAACTCCAGCTTCCTGAACCTTGCTTGCTAGCCTCTAACTTCTTGCATGATTTCACGAGTCGGTCCCCTAAATGAGGTATGGTCGGAAATCTACCTCACAACTTCAGTCGCATCGGTCTGGATTTCAAGCTCACAAATCCCTTTGTTCCAAGCGCCCTGGAGACCTTTCACAATGGCCATGGCTTCAACCACCAATCGTTATACCGTGCACTATGTGCGCCCTGGAACGAAACGTCGTCGTTTCCATTATTAATAACGGAGATTGGATGTGACAGACGCCGCTCCGTCCGTCCAATCCCCGTTACAATTTTTTTTATTAAAATATAAAGCAGCGACGGGCTATTCTTCTTCCCCAAGACACACCATTTCAATCATCCAAAAGAGCAAAAAGCACAGCCAAAATCTCCCGCGCGCCAAAAGAGCGAAAAAGTTCAAAAGCAAACCAGAAAAAAAGTAATAACTCCAATCTTTTCATCGTTCATCGCACTACACAACACATTTTCATGAATGTTCAAACATTTTTTTGTTTGAAGATCAAAATATTGTGAAATTTGTAACATAACACATAATTTCAACATATATATCATGAAATCTATGCACATTTAGATGAAAATTCATCATTAACAAGCATTTTCCGTTAAGCTAGGATTACATAACAGTACTAACATGAACTCTGCACCTAAATGATATTACTAAATTATGTATACAATGTTATGAGTTTGTGTGAATTCTTTTATACAAATTATGTGCATTCTGAGTAGATATTATGTGTATTCTACTATACACCTCATCAAACATAACAGATGTTCCTTATGTTTAGGATTATGTGTTTTCTAGGTAGACATTATTTGTATTCTAGTATAAGATTATGTACATTAGGAATTTCAGTTGCTATACACCTCATCAAACATAACAGATGCTCCTTATGTTTAGAATTATGCATGTGTATTCTGAGTATAGATTAGACCACATAGTCCTGGTATGAGTATTATGTTGATAGTTTAAATATATTCTGATATCATAATATGTACGTTAATATTTTTAGTATGCTTAGGATTATGTGTATTCTGTGTAGATATTATGTGTAATCTATTGTAAGATTCTGTACATTATGCATTTTAACTCTGTACATTCATTCAGTACCTGATTGGTTAATCTAAGGTTACATGTTACTTAGACCTATATTTATGTGTATTATATTTATAGTTTATGTGTATTCTACTATAAAATTATGTACATTATTAATTTACATACAGTATCTGAGTGCTCAATTGTATACTTTTATTGCAGAAATGTCAAGCTCCACAGAAAGTGATCCTACACTAAGGGGATGTTTGGTTCATGGAAATTTCCTTAAAGTGGAGGAAAATGTTGTTTTCTGGTGTTTGGTTCATGGAATTCATTTTCCATTGGAAACCTCAAATTTGAGGAAAACAAAATCATTGGTTGGACCAAGGATTTTGTTTTCCATGGGAAATGGGACGAAAAAGTGAGATGGATTACCAATTTTACCCTTGTTTTCTTTTTTAATTATATTACTCTTATTAATTTGTAGGGGCATATAGGTCTTTATACTCGTTATTCCTTACAATTCCAAATCTAACCAAACAATAAAATTAGTATTCCCAGTAATTCTTTTTCCACCAACCAAACAATGAAATTCATCTTCCTAGTAATTGTTTTTCCATGGAATTTCAATTCCACTTCCCTTAAAATATTTTCCGCGAACCAAACAAGTCCTAAGGGAATTTCAACAAATATATGCAAGAAAAAGAAATGCAGCATCTACTTCAGTCTTCCGCCATGTAGATCACGAGCCAGAGAAAAATGAAAACAGAAGCAAAGCAAGGAATGATCGCATCTAAAGGGCTGAAAAAAGGGGCCAAAATCAACACATAACGCCCAGCCTGACCAACCTAAAGCAACACCAAAACGATCAAGGAAAGGGAAAGAACCAGAGGACAATGTACCAAAGCATGCAAAAAGGGTCAAATCAACACATAACGCACAACCTAACCAGCCTAAAACAGCACCAAAACGATCAAGGAAAAGGAAAGAACCACAGGATGATGTGCCAAAGAATTTAAAGTACTTGGGCTTGAGGGAAACACCAAAGCAAATCTACACTCTCGTCAACAGTTTAAGCCCAGAACAGCATGAAGGTGTTAAGGAGATTGGGTTTGGATATCTACTCGACATAAAGATCTCATCATGTGACGCTAAGTTGATCAAGTACCTCCTAGAAAGTTTGGATATTGGTCGATGCTCAATCCATATTGAAGATGATGAGCTCTTTATAGAGGAAAAAGATGTACAATCTACACTTGGTATACCTAGAGGGAATATTCTTGTTGTTGAGGCTACTAATGCAAATGCAACTCCTGAGTTCAATAAAACAGTTGCTTAATGGAGAGCTCGGTGGGAAATAACAAAGGGAACACCAACAACTAGTGAAATGCTGAGCAAGATGGTGGAAAGGGGTGATCATGGAGACATGTTTAAGAGAGACTTTGTAATCTTTGTGGTAACCACACCGATTGAGGCATTCCAGAACACGCGCGTTAACTATAAGATCCTCTATTCACTACTTGATGTGAATAAAATCAAGGATCTCAACTGGTGTGGTTACACAATCAACTATCTCCTTGACACTGCTCAAGGTTGGAAGGATAAAAGAGATTCACAATTTGTTGGACCAACCACCTTCTTGACGGTATAGAGGTATGAGTATTCTTTTAATGAATTTTGAGTATTAATGATAAACTTGTGTTTATGTGTATTATGTTGAGAGTTTATGTGTACTCCATTATAAAAATCTGTATGTTAATACTTTCAATTACATACCACAGCAAAACATGGAATATATTTCATAGAATTATGTTTATGTGTATTATGATAAGAGTTTATGTGTATCCTACTATAAAATTATGTACATTATAAAATCCAATACCATACCTCAGCAAAACATAGATTTTATTCTCTTAGAATTATCTTTATGTGTATTATGTTATAAGATTCTACTAGAAAACACAATCTCAACCCAGAAAACACATAATCCTAAAGCATAAGGAACATCTGTTATGTATGCTGAGGTATATACCAACTAAAAATCTTAATGTACATAATCTTATATCAGAATACACATAAACTATCAACATAATACACATAAAAATTAATGAAGCATAGATCAGTATCCATACCTTGTCCAGTAAAACTCAAACTCTGCCTCTGTATCAGTACATTTCAGCAAGAAATTTAATATATCTAAAAAACCTTTTTTGATTTCTTAATCCTTTAATATGCTTCTTTGAATTCTCACCAATGTGCCATATACATAGCCGATGTCGTGAACTTGGAAAAACTTGAACAATAGCAGCAGTCATAGCAGCGCATTGGTCAGTCATTATACTTTGTGGTCTTTTGTAATCCATAGATCTCAAAAATGAGTTAAACAACCATACAAACGACTCAATCTTCTCATTTATCAAAAACTCGCATCCAAACATGACATTCAAGTAATGGTGATTCATGCCAACAAACAAACCACAAATCATATCATATTTGTTAGTACGATATGTTCTATCATGAACTAACAAATCTCCAAACAATTCATAATCTTGTCTCATTTGTCCATCCCTCCAGAAAAAACTACACAATCAACTTCAAAATCAAAGTAAAAATCTTTTTCACTTGACTGCCTTCGTCTAAATATTTCAATAAATGTGTTTGAGTCAATCCTATCCAATTTGTTCAATCCATCAGTACATAAAGAGTTGTATGCATCCCTACTTGTAAAACCAACGAGTGGTGATCCCCCCGATTGTGTTTTAATAAACCTTATACCATCTGCCACAGAAACACCACTCTCCTTCATATCCTTTAGATAAGAAAGATGATTCCTAGACACCATTCTATGTGACCGTAGAAGGTAACTCTTGCTCGGTGAAACCAAATCATGATTATGCACATTCTCATGTTTTGAAGCACTCCACGTCCCATTCCCATCTACATCAAATTGAACAAGTGCAGAGCACCCTGTTCGACCATCAACTTTAGAATAACAACCCTTTCCTAAATTTCGTTTAAATCCAGCCTTCGAACAGTGAAACGTCTTCGTCTTCAATGTTTTGTAGCACTACTATATCTTTGATTACCCTTCCTCACACTAAAACCTAATCTAAAAGCATAGTCATTATACATATCATATGTTTCGTCAACCGAACTCACTGACATCCCTACCAAATTCTAGTCAGTTGCAAATCACATAAAGTTTAAGTACCCCTATGATGAATGTACATAATTCTATACCAGAATACAAATAATATCT